AGACGTGTGCTCTTCCGATCTCCCCAAAACCCCAAAACCCCAAAACCCCATAATTGCAAATGGCAAAATTTCTTGGAAGAAAATTTAAAAACAATAATCGTTTAAAGCTAAATAATATTTTAATGTCAATTTCTTTAAAAGTATTACTTCTGCTAGCTCTCTTTATTGCTTTATAATTTTCCTCAGCATTAAATTTACAGAAGTAATGCAGCACTAATACAGATTGCAAAGATTATGAGGAATGTTCTTTTTAGTAAATATGCACAAGTGAGGGTTGCTAGAAATCTTAAAAGAAATAGTGCATTAGTGTCGGACCAAGTAGTTAATAGTTTACCAGAGCACAGCAAAATAGCAATTACCTTTCTTAAAGCTATTAGCAATCTGAAAATGAACAGATTCAGCCACAACTTATTATTAAATCCTCTAAAGATAAGGATTCTTTAATAAGTTTTGAAAAAAAAGGAGATCAATAGCAAGATCATACTTTTAAAATGGGTCTATAAGGACTTGATAATGACTTTGTTATTAGCAAAGGTGAAAACTCTTTATTGGTAATTGATGCTGAGAGTGGAGATGTAAGAATAAATAAAAATTTGAAAATCACAGAGGAACTTAAATTGGGTCTTTAAAGTTAAATCGTAATTGGCAAGGTGCCTTAATGGATTATGATCCATGAAGAGGTTAGTGGATAGTTTGATCTCTCTAAATGGACTCTATTAAATGGAAAAGGAAAGACATTAAAATAAACAAAGTGTGGAGGCTATACTCTTCTTGGTGGGTATGGAGAACTTTCACTAGAGAAATTATAAACTCAGATTTCGCTGGCAAATTATAAATACAGTAATGTAAAGATCGAAGCAGTATTTCACTTCATTGATGCTTGGTCAGGATAAACAGCATATATGAGGCTACCACATTCAGAAGCGTATCTCTGGACTGACTCATTTGATTTTACACAAACTAAAAATACTCTCAATCTTTGTGGAAGTGACATTGGAGAAGGTAAATTCTCTTCTTAAATAGAGGCAGTTTTCTCCTCTGACTTAGGAATAGATAAAGAGTCTAACACCTTAACGGTGGAATTTGGAACAACACTCGAAACAGACGCTTAATATTCATCATATGGCATATCCTCATTGAGAGTGTATATTAGATGAAAAATTCTCTCCATAAACTTCTCTTAAATGTTACTTTATAATTTGTGATTTAAATTTTTTAAGCATAGTTAAGTTATCCAATTATATTTATATTCATTCCTCCTTTCATGAATTTCTCTCTACTCATCTTGCTTTGATTCCCAATACTTCATCACATACTTTCATAAAGGTAAATAGATCAACCTTTTCTGGAATGTTTGCTTCAGTTGCCTTGGAGAAATGATACTCTGAATTAGCAAGAGTTTTCATTGCTACAGTTATATTTATTAACACTCAAGTGAATGAAAAAATTCTTAATGACTTACCTTCTTTGCATTATTCCTTTGTAATATGACCTGCACCCTTTAGGTCATAAAGAGTAAAGATGTTTTAGAGTTCAGCTTCGTTGTATACAATTGATCTACTGCCTTAATCTTTTCTTTACTTGAGCATGTCGACTAAAAATTGCTCAATGTTTTCTGGTTGTTTATAGCATAAAATGGTTGTCAAATCCTATTAAGATGGAATTTAGAATGATTCATTCAAGTAATTTTGCTTACCTCGAAAAGTTCAAGAACCTTATGCTTTCTAAGGTACTCATCAGCATCTCTGAGGAGTTCGTTATCAATATCTTAAACCATTAATGGATTAGTCATCTTTCTTATTTTATTATTTAAATTATTTCTTTGTTTTTATTTTACCTCTTATATTTTTATTTTACCTCTTGGGGTTTTGGGGTTTTGGGGTTTTGGGG